AAAAAACGACTCTCTCTGATATTTTCAATTTCGACAGCAGTACCCGTTTCAGCCAGTAGCCATCAATATTACATACTGCTCTTTTAAGATTTCTTTTAAGAAGTTCCTCATGCTCATATATATATATATATATATATATATATATACTCTTTTTGGAGGGTTTTGTTGGTGTCATGACATTCTGTGCTGGAGGCAGATGTGTAGTTTGTGCCGCACCTTCCTCCTCTCATGACTCACAGGTCTCTGGATCTGCTCCAGCTCTCAGTCTATGAGGCAATGGCCTAGATTTCATTAGCAGCAGCCCGCTTCACTGCTGTCAGCACTTTCCCAACCGACTGCTCCAGCCAGAGCCGTTTTGGGAAAATCTCTGGGACGAAAATAAGGAGCAGACGTTTTGTCAGGAAGATGTGCCTCAGAATCATAACTCAACGGATTAGCCAAGAGCTTTGTTTCATAGCAAGATAACATAGATAGCCAACAGCAGAGTTACAGGAAGAGAATGGTTTAAAATAGACTGAATAAAGGCATGTGTCTTATGGGGTTTAGTTTGGCTTTGTGGGATAATGAAGAACAGAGAGAGTTATGGGTATGCAGTATGCATAAAATACTGTGTGGGTTTCATCCTAAAAACAAACATTTTCCGATTGATTAAATGGTGTGTACGCTGGGCCCTTCATGAATTTACATATAATGGAAAATTTAGTGTTAAATGTGCCATCATGACTGTTTCCTGAAATAACCATAAGTGGATTTGAAATGGACTGAAGTACAAATCAATCCAAACAATAGCTTATATTTGATATATATATATATATATATATATATATATATATATAATTTTTTTTTATTGAAACATTTTATGTGGATGCCATCCCACTAAATAGAAATAAGTACATAAAGCAAATAAAAAAAATACAAATCTAACAAAAATGACAAACACGCACCACAAATTTACTAAAACTTTAACTAAAATTCAAATGAAAATATAAAAATAAAAACTAATTTAAAACTATAACAGTATCTCAATGATACTAAAATAATATTAAAGTGAATGTATTGTGTGTGTATAAATTACCCGCATTTTCAGCTTAAAGGTTAGTCATGACTTTTAGGTTACACGATATTTTTGTTAAAATATAATTAAATGTTTATTTATTTTATCTAAAAGCATTAAAGGGGTCATATGATGTTGCTAAAAAGAACATTATTTTGTGTATTTGGTGTAATGAAATGTGTTTATGCGGTTTAAGTAATGCTGGGTGGTATGACAAAAAATGTATATCATGGTATTTTTTAAAATTATACCGGTTTCACGGTACAAGACAGTGTTTTTGTTCATGCATGATCGGGTGTTAACCATATGTTCTACTGATTGAGAGAGAAAATACTGCAGTATATTGACTTAGAATTACCTATTTTACTGTCATGATGAGTGAATATTGTAAAAAAAATACCACACTAAATAGTGACTTAACACGACCCGGTATTTTCAGAATTCATATCATAACAAAAATAAAAACCGGTATTCGGTATGAACCGGTATACCGCCCAGCACTAGGTTTAAGGTTCAAAAAACACATTATTTTCCACATACTGTACATTATTGTTTCTCCTCTATGCCCCGCCTTTCTGAAACACGTCAATTTTAACAAAGCTCATCCTTCTGAAAAGCGAGGTGTGCTGTGATTGGCCAGCTATCCAGTGCGTTGTGATTGGCTGAATACCTCAAGCGTGTGACGGAAATGTTACGCCCCTCACCATACTGTGATGCCGTGTCCAGCCGGAGCGACGAGACAAAAACATTAAAACCCATTATAAACTAGGCATTTGTTGCATCCAGTGGGGACATAATTTCGGATTATAATACTTTATATTTTGTCTAGTGTTGTCACGGTACCAAAATTTCAGTATTCGGTACCAATATCAGTGAAAATCCACGGTTCTCGATACCAATTTCAGTACCAAAGCAAAACACAAAAACATGCTAATTGAACAACATTTTTATTAATAACGTTAAACAAAAATTAAATGTACAAAACTAATGCCATTCTTTATACTTATTTAAAATTGTTTCAAGTTTTTCCACAAGTAATAAAAGTATGAAAAAAGTAAACAAGTTTCACCCAAAAGTTTAGTCATATTTCTGCTGCCACTGAAAAACATCTGTAAACGGTTGTCTCACGATCTTCCTCAGTCTGCAGCTGTAAAAGGAAAATATAACATACTTATGTAAAGCAATGGGCCGAGTCTGACCAAATGCAACATAAGATCATTGACACCAGCTAAAATATAACTAGATGGAAACTGTAGTATTAAAAACACTTTACAATAAGATTTTATTTGTTAGATAACATGACCTGACAATAAACAATAGTTATATGGCAATTATTCTTCTTAGGGTTAATTTCAAAGTTCAATCTGTTAAAATTATTTAATGCACAATAAAATATGGAATAAGCCCAATCGCGTTTCGAGGGGGTCCCCCGTTAAAAATCGCGTTCCGAGGATAAAATATGCATGTTTTGGAGGGGTTCCCCTGGTAAAATTCGCATTCCAGGGGCTAAATATCACATTAGTGGGGTCGTTTTTCAACCGTGGACATGAAAAACAACCCGCGGCAGCAGTGTTAAAGCAGCCCAATTCTGCGGGAAAACCGCGGACTTGGCAACACTGGAAGAGGATAGCTTTCGTATAGCGCATCAAGAACCGGGTTGACCGGGTACTCTGTACCACCGGTACTTTAAAAAACCTGGTACCGTAACATTTTCATTTTTTTTAATACCGACTTGGTACCGAAATACCAGGTCTTTTGACAACACTAATACTGTCTTTTTACGCGTTGAGTCGCGCCGCGTAAATATAAAACCATGTCTGCATTTATGATCGGAGAAATGACAAACAACAAGCACTACTCTACACTGCTCAAAACTCGCGTTTGAATCATCAGTGGCAAATTCTTTATATATAAAAAAACTTACTTACAGTCTGTGAGTCAGAACAGCCAGCATTGTAGTCTACTCTACCAGGATCAGGAAACAGTCCTCCATAAAATGTGCTGCACACATCTGAATATTTTGGTTAAACTGTTCTGGAACAGTGTTATAAATACAACTTAACCACTGATTTCTTGTCGTGTCCTCTTTTGGAAGACCAAACAAAGTAGTTTCGCTTTCACAACGAAACACACCGTGGCCTTGAGTGAGCGGAGGCCGGAGGGCTAGAGTGAGCAGAGGCAGGCGGGCTTGAGAACGGTGCGGCCGGCAGATTCGATGAAGGAGCGTCCAGAGGGCTTGCGGCAAACACATGTGATGACCCCGGGCTGGACTCCACTTCGTCCACAGTGAAAGCCAATCCGGCGATCCACAGCACAAAGTTGATGTATAACTTCAATGTTAATGTTAATGTACAACAGATCAATTAAATTAAAAAAGGATGTTACCAATATATTGTGCATTTGAATCTATTTGCTAATTTTGTGCAAGGAATGGAACAAAAGTTATTACTCATATCTACATCCGCATATATTTGAAAAATATTGACGTCAACCCTGGTCTTGAAGGGCCATATCCTGGAACAGTGTTATAAATACAACTTAACCACTGATTTCTTGTCGTGTCCTCTTTTGGAAGACCAAACAAAGTAGTTTCGCTTTCACAACGAAACACACCGTGGCCTTGAGTGAGCGGAGGCCGGAGGGCTAGAGTGAGCAGAGGCAGGCGGGCTTGAGAACGGTGCGGCCGGCAGATTCGATGAAGGAGCGTCCAGAGGGCTTGCGGCAAACACATGTGATGACCCCGGGCTGGACTCCACTTCGTCCACAGTGAAAGCCAATCCGGCGATCCACAGCACAAAGTTGATGTATAACTTCAATGTTAATGTTAATGTACAACAGATCAATTAAATTAAAAAAGGATGTTACCAATATATTGTGCATTTGAATCTATTTGCTAATTTTGTGTAAGGAATGGAACAAAAGTTATTACTCATATCTACATCCGCATATATTTGAAAAATATTGACGTCAACCCTGGTCTTGAAGGGCCATATCAGAGTAAGATTTGATCATGCGTGCATGATCTGAGAGGAGTTATGAAAGTTTATCATACCATATTCATCATGAACCAGTGTTTCTGTTGCTCTTCTGAGGTTACTTGGGTAAATAAATATTAAGAAACGTTCTTGTTGAGGATTGAGTCTAATTCTTCTACTGACGATCAGCATCCAGGACCTCAGCGGTGCATCTGAGTGTGCTATATAGAGATGTTTTTCTCATGCTTATTCAGGAATTTAGATTAACTCAAGCATCCCAGCAATGAAGTCACATGGAAATATGAGGAGAAAAGCAGCTGTTGAAGGGAGTGAAACTGCACAGATCATCTCTTCTCACAGTTTTGTGTATATAATGTGTAGATATTGCATTAAACCGTAACGGCTGATCAACAGAATCTTTTCCTTTTCCTTTTGCTTTTAACCAATTACACCAGTGCCTCGTTTACATTCGACACTTTTAAAGCATTTAATGTGACCCCTGAAGTTCATTTGTAATGTTAGTCAAGGTTTCTTACGCAGTTTAAGTTTTTCATGACTTTTTCCACCTCCTCTCTGACCCTGTTTTTTCTTCTATACCTTTAAGAGATATGTATGCAAATTAGCTCTGTTGGGATTGGCTGACCTCTGCCTACCGGCATAGTTTAAAGCTATGCCGATAATAAATTATATTATACAATATTTTAAATTGTAAAACTTTTCTGACAATATTACATAGATCCTATTGTTGACATTTGAGCGTTCCTGTATATTTCCAACAGTTAATGAAGAAATTGGTGTGAATTTCCAAACCAAGTTGTTTTGGGTTTGTTTTTCTTGTTTTGAATGTTGAAGCACACAGTAGTGCATAACACTGTTTTCCATGATCTGATCCCGTGGAGTGTGGTGGTGATGTGATGGAGTCTATATCGTCCGAGTTACTGTAAATGACTGAAATCCTGCTCTGTCTTCAACAGGGCGACGATCGAGGAGGTGGAGGGCGACGTCTGTGAGCTCGAGTCCAAACTAGACAAGGTACGTTTGGACTGCTGGGGGTGTATTACAGAAAGATTACAGATCCTAACTTTAAAATCTTATCTTGTCTGTTTGGTAATCATGGTCATTTCAGTTAGGACAAAAGCTATTACAGAACAGCGTTTCCTAAGTGGGTTGTACCAACAAGGATTAATTTAAGTAAAGTTTAGAGCTAATCAAGGATTTGTTGATCTGGGTTTTATTTTAAATCGAGTTGTGTTGCACCACTTAATTTTAAATGCAGATTAACAAATCGGGGATTAGAACTCTAACCTGCGATTAAAACCTCCATCTACGATTAATTTTCTCCGCGATGATGGATTTCGCCATTGCAATTAAACAGGAACAATGCTAATATTCAAAATTTTTCTTTGCTTACTACCAAATTCTCTTTCTGACATAAGTTGCTCGTGTCAAAAAAGGAAATAAACTTGTAAAATATCTGCGGTCTTAATAAACTGCTATCGTTATTCAAATGGCTGATCAAGCAAGCAATGAATACATTTCTGGCAGTGCATACGGATTTCATAATCCTGGAAATATATTTATAGTATCAATTAATGGAGTATGTTTTATGACAGCGCCGCCCTGTCCGTTTGATCGCCGCCCAGCATCCACGCGTGGAGCAGGCGTGAGAAACGAGAGCCGTGGCCGCGATCATTGGCGCTCACTTCATCATCACCGCTGCCGTTAAATGCTATACAGTATATTTCTGTTTTCTTTGTCGTACGCCGAGATGTACCGAGATGAGTGACGGATTCACATCCCAGACTCGATAGCAGACGCGGGTGTACTACGGGCTGCCAAGACCCTCACAATCTGCTGGCTCAATGTGCTTAAATCTTCCTTTATATTTGTAATAAACACCTGAGACCTCACAACACACCCTCTATTGTTTTCTTTGTTTAATCAGCCACATAATTGTAACTGTAGGTGCACTTTATTTCATTTAAACCTCCTCACCTGTAAATTTAAAATTAATCCCTAATTGAGATTTAAATCTGAGTTTAAAGTTATGGAGCAACAAGATTAAAGTGAATCTATTTTAAATATAAATTAAATCCAGGATCAAGTTGATGGTTTAAATGTAATCCTTGTTATTTTTAAACAAGGTTTAAAGTTTGGTGCAACGGAATTATTAGATAAACCTTGATTTAATCTAGATTAAAGCTTAATCCTTGTTGGTGCAACCCACCCTAAGTGTGTTATCTTATCTTAACTAAAGATAGGAAGGGGGTATTACAGAAACCTACTTGACAAAACATCCTAAAAACTGTCTTAACTCTAGGACAGCCCCACAGCTGTCCTAACTTCGAAATTATTTGTAAGCTAACGGAAAAACCGCTTACAATTGTGCTGTCCAACAATGGTATTACATTTATTAATAACTGAAAATGAAGAACGGAGATGTTTAATGGTAAAAAGACTCTTGGAGGACCCTGAAGATGTGTTACATTTTGATGACAAAACACTTATAAGTAATTACAGACTGCCGAGCAACATGATATTACAGCTAGCACAGGAGCTGCAACCAGCATTACAGAGACCAACAAAGCATCACGGAGCACCGGACACGACGGGTAAAGTCTGTCTACACTGGACACGACAAAGCGATGTTGAAAATCATTTAAAATTTGTGTCGGCACGTCATAAATAGAACACGGCAGCAGTTTTCTGTCTGGGATTTGTTGCGCCGCATCCAGTGTAGACAGCATCAGCATCGGGGAAGTCGTGGCCTAATGGTTAGAGAGTCGGACTCATAACCCAAAGGTTGTGGGTTCGAGTCTCGTACCGGCAGGGATTGTAGGTGGGGGGAGTGAATGTACAGCGCTCTCTCCCACCTTCAATACCACGACTGAGGTGCCCTTGAGCAAGGCACCGAACCCCCAACTGCTCCCCGGGCGCCGCAGCATAAATGGCTGCCCACTGCTCCGGGTGTGTGTTCACGGTTTGTGTGTGTTCACTGCTGTGTGTGTGCACTTTGGATGGGTAAATGCAGAGCACTAATTCTGAGTATGGGTCACCATACTTGGCCACGTCACTTCACTTTTTTATAATGAGTTCTATAGTATTTTGTCGTGTCGCGCCGCGCCGCATCCAGTGTAGACAGCATCACTGGCTGTAATGAGTTCTATAGTATTTTGTCGTGTCGTGTCGCGCCGCGCAGCATCCAGTGTAGACAGCATCACTGGCTATAATGAGTCCTATAGTATTTTGTCGTGTCGCGCCGCGCCGCATCCGGTGTAGACAGCATCACTGGCTATAATGAGTTCTATAGTATTTTGTCGTGTCGCGCCGCGCCGCATCCAGTGTAGACCGCATCACTGGCTATAATGAGTTCTATAGTATTTTGTCGTGTCGCGCCGCGCCGCATCCAGTGTAGACCGCATCACTGGCTATAATGAGTTCTATAGTATTTTGTCGTGTCGCGCCGCGCCGCATCCAGTGTAGACCGCATCACTGGCTATAATGAGTTCTATAGTATTTTGTCGTGTCGCGCCGCGCCGCATCCAGTGTAGACCGCATCACTGGCTATAATGAGTTCTATAGTATTTTGTCGTGTCGCGCCGCGCCGCATCCAGTGTAGACCGCATCACTGGCTATAATGAGTTCTATAGTATTTTGTCGTGTCGCGCCGCGCCGCATCCAGTGTAGACCGCATCACTGGCTATAATGAGTTCTATAGTATTTTGTCGTGTCGCGCCGCGCCGCATCCAGTGTAGACCGCATCACTGGCTATAATGAGTTCTATAGTATTTTGTCGTGTCGCGCCGCGCCGCATCCAGTGTAGACCGCATCACTGGCTATAATGAGTTCTATAGTATTTTGTCGTGTCGCGCCGCGCCGCATCCAGTGTAGACCGCATCACTGGCTATAATGAGTTCTATAGTATTTTGTCGTGTCGCGCCGCGCCGCATCCAGTGTAGACCGCATCACTGGCTATAATGAGTTCTATAGTATTTTGTCGTGTCGCGCCGCGCCGCATCCAGTGTAGACCGCATCACTGGCTATAATGAGTTCTATAGTATTTTGTCGTGTCGCGCCGCGCCGCATCCAGTGTAGACCGCATCACTGGCTATAATGAGTTCTATAGTATTTTGTCGTGTCGCGCCGCGCCGCATCCAGTGTAGACCGCATCACTGGCTATAATGAGTTCTATAGTATTTTGTCGTGTCGCGCCGCGCCGCATCCAGTGTAGACCGCATCACTGGCTATAATGAGTTCTATAGTATTTTGTCGTGTCGCGCCGCGCCGCATCCAGTGTAGACCGCATCACTGGCTATAATGAGTTCTATAGTATTTTGTCGTGTCGCGCCGCGCCGCATCCAGTGTAGACCGCATCACTGGCTATAATGAGTTCTATAGTATTTTGTCGTGTCGCGCCGCGCCGCATCCAGTGTAGACCGCATCACTGGCTATAATGAGTTCTATAGTATTTTGTCGTGTCGCGCCGCGCCGCATCCAGTGTAGACCGCATCACTGGCTATAATGAGTTCTATAGTATTTTGTCGTGTCGCGCCGCGCCGCATCCAGTGTAGACCGCATCACTGGCTATAATGAGTTCTATAGTATTTTGTCGTGTCGCGCCGCGCCGCATCCAGTGTAGACCGCATCACTGGCTATAATGAGTTCTATAGTATTTTGTCGTGTCGCGCCGCGCCGCATCCAGTGTAGACCGCATCACTGGCTATAATGAGTTCTATAGTATTTTGTCGTGTCGCGCCGCGCCGCATCCAGTGTAGACCGCATCACTGGCTATAATGAGTTCTATAGTATTTTGTCGTGTCGCGCCGCGCCGCATCCAGTGTAGACCGCATCACTGGCTATAATGAGTTCTATAGTATTTTGTCGTGTCGCGCCGCGCCGCATCCAGTGTAGACCGCATCACTGGCTATAATGAGTTCTATAGTATTTTGTCGTGTCGCGCCGCGCCGCATCCAGTGTAGACCGCATCACTGGCTATAATGAGTTCTATAGTATTTTGTCGTGTCGCGCCGCGCCGCATCCAGTGTAGACCGCATCACTGGCTATAATGAGTTCTATAGTATTTTGTCGTGTCGCGCCGCGCCGCATCCAGTGTAGACCGCATCACTGGCTATAATGAGTTCTATAGTATTTTGTCGTGTCGCGCCGCGCCGCATCCAGTGTAGACCGCATCACTGGCTATAATGAGTTCTATAGTATTTTGTCGTGTCGCGCCGCGCCGCATCCAGTGTAGACCGCATCACTGGCTATAATGAGTTCTATAGTATTTTGTCGTGTCGCGCCGCGCCGCATCCAGTGTAGACCGCATCACTGGCTATAATGAGTTCTATAGTATTTTGTCGTGTCGCGCCGCGCCGCATCCAGTGTAGACCGCATCACTGGCTATAATGAGTTCTATAGTATTTTGTCGTGTCGCGCCGCGCCGCATCCAGTGTAGACCGCATCACTGGCTATAATGAGTTCTATAGTATTTTGTCGTGTCGCGCCGCGCCGCATCCAGTGTAGACCGCATCACTGGCTATAATGAGTTCTATAGTATTTTGTCGTGTCGCGCCGCGCCGCATCCAGTGTAGACCGCATCACTGGCTATAATGAGTTCTATAGTATTTTGTCGTGTCGCGCCGCGCCGCATCCAGTGTAGACCGCATCACTGGCTATAATGAGTTCTATAGTATTTTGTCGTGTCGCGCCGCGCCGCATCCAGTGTAGACCGCATCACTGGCTATAATGAGTTCTATAGTATTTTGTCGTGTCGCGCCGCGCCGCATCCAGTGTAGACCGCATCACTGGCTATAATGAGTTCTATAGTATTTTGTCGTGTCGCGCCGCGCCGCATCCAGTGTAGACCGCATCACTGGCTATAATGAGTTCTATAGTATTTTGTCGTGTCGCGCCGCGCCGCATCCAGTGTAGACCGCATCACTGGCTATAATGAGTTCTATAGTATTTTGTCGTGTCGCGCCGCGCCGCATCCAGTGTAGACCGCATCACTGGCTATAATGAGTTCTATAGTA